GGCCCTGCCGCTCCCATTGTGTCCTCCCAGCCTGGCCCTGCCGCTCCCATTGTGTCCTCCCAGCCTGGCCCTGCCGCTCCCATTGTGTCCTCCCAGCCTGGCCCTGCCGCTCCCATTGTGTCCTCCCAGCCTGGCCCTGCTGCTCCCCGCCTGTCCTGCCAGTCAGGCCTTGGAGCTCCCTGCTGTAGCTCCAGAAGCACCTCTGCCCCTGCCAACAGTGGGCGTGGATCCTGGAAATCTATAAGGGGGAGCATCACACGCTGGCTCCCGGCCCTGTGCTGCTGCCTGCCACCCTTGGGGCACCACCGACACAAGGGGGCCCCAACGTAAGTAGCACCAGCAGAGTCCCAGACAACCCTCAACCCTCAAGGAGGCTGGGTGGTCTGGGTGCTTTCTGAGTGAGCTGTATCCTGATGATGTCACCTTTCACGGTCAGGGTAGAACTCCAGTGAGGAGGAGAGGGGAGGGGGTGGAGGAGTTGTTGCCAGAGGGACGAGTCTCAGATGGACATGAGGACTTGCTGCCGGGTCTCCTGTAGTGTAGGGTGGTGGTGACCACAGCCAACAATAATGCCTCGTGTATTTTCCCACGAGTGTCCATTTCATCCGTGTCCTTGTCGTTTTAGTACAGAGCCATAAGCAACTCCGCGGACGTGGACGTCCTACCCATGGCAGACCAGCCACATGGGAGGAAGCCACGGTGAGTCACCCTGCAGCCCTCTCTAGGGAGCTAGAGGGAAAGGGTGTCCAGGACACCTGTGTTTCCTGGGGAGGGAGGGAGGAGGGTGCACAGCTCAGAAGGCTGTGCTTGAGTCAAGAGCTAGGATTCGGTGGGAGGAAGATGGAGGAGCAACAGGAGGGGTCTCCCTGACTTGTGTGCCATTGCCGAGGGAGGCTCCCCTAAGACCAGGGAGTGCCCAGCACCTTGGAGGCTGAGGGCTCCTGACTGGTGAGGGTGGGGTTGGTTGAGCAGAGCCGTGATTTATCCCACAGTCGTCCATCGTAAGGAGCTTCTCTCTGCTCATCTCCTCGCATGTCGTTGTGTGAGGGTTTCCACCAAGGAGCCGCAGAGGAAGGAGATCAGGTGAGGAGAGGTAGCTCTGGAGGACTGGGGTACTGCTGTTCCCCCGGCCACCATGTAGAAGCCTAGACTCGGCCATGCTGTGAGCAGCCCAGGAGTACACAGAGGCCACACTGATCCTCTGCCCGCCGATGGCACGATGGGAGCCACCCCAGCCCAGTCACCAGAGGTGTGTGGCGGCATCTCTACATCATCCCAGTGCCAGCCATGGAGTTCCTGGCCCAGAAGTCAGCACAGCTGAGTCCTGAGGACCAGGGCCATGCCTCAGCCCAAGTGGACCTGGCCTAGGCCCTGAGCCCCATAGGTAACATCTCTGTGGCCTCCTCCTCTTCTGCTGTCAGGATCACTGGGATTTTATAGAGGAGGAGCATGACTCCTGGAGGGCTGACGTGAAGTCCCACATTTGAACAGGGAGAACGGGGCAGGGTCGGCTTCGACTCTGGAACTTCCCAGCTCTCGGTCATACCGTCATCCAGTGAGGAAGACAGCCTGGGACAGCACGAGAGGAACGACAGTGTTGGCACCAGATGGTGGTGGTGGTAGCTTTCCAGGCTGTGGCAGGACACCTGAGATTGATCGGCAGAGGTTTCAGTCCAGGGTCACTGTGGGCTTGGGGCGGCACAGCACATCTCACGCAGGAGTGTTGGAGCAGGCAAACAGTAGACGGCACCAAAGAGGGAGATAGTGAAACCGGTTAGGGGAAGAGGACCGAAACGCTGTTTTTGAGGACATGAACATGCATCCAAAGCCACCTGGGGCCTGTGTCGCGTCTGCAGCTCGAGCTGCCCGGAAGGCACTGAGCCTTCTGACTCTTCACGTCCTGCTCTGCGCTGCCTTGCTTTGCATAGCTGCTGTGCTGCACCGTATGGTGTTAGGGTGCCTCGCTGTTTCCCCAGAACCCTCCTCCAGGGCGTGCCTTTTGGGGGGGGTGTCACTGAGCCTTAGGGAGGCCTGGCCGGAACGCCACTGCCCCACCGCCTCTCTTCTCTTCCTGTCCCCTGGGGGAGGGGCTGCCCAGGCCGGCTGGGTTCCTGCAGGGAGGTGAAGACTTGGAGTTGAAGGGGCGATGGGCAAAGGCTGTCTGAGGACAGCTGAGCTTGATGCTGTGCTCTTGTGCTCCTCTGGAGGATGAGCTCTGACGTTGGGGTGGCGGCTCCACGGCCGAGCCTGTGCAGCAAGTGTCCAGCCCAGTCCCAGAGCCAGCGAGACCCTTCCTGAGCTGGAAAGTGACCGGGCAGGCTGCCAGGTGCACATGATTACACAGAGCGGGAACTGCAGCCCTGGGGGACATCACTTCCTGTCACCTCCCAGGAAACAGAAGGCCTCAGGGGGATCCTAGTTTTACTCCTTCCACATGTGTGCATGAAGTTAACAGTTGTTTTATCCTTGTGGATTACTGTGTATTTAGTGTTGCATCCAGCCCCTCGGACTCCTCAGGTACGCTTGCACGGCAGAGACCAAAGGAGATTCAGAAAGGACTTGGCTGGTTGGGAGCCAGGAAGGAGCACATTTCAAACTCAGCAGGGAACGAAGGCGGGCCAGGCCGTTGCCGGCCCTTTCCAGGGAGGACAAATGCCAGATTGCAGAAGAAAGAGCAAAGGTTGGGGCAGCGTGGGTCACTGTCCCTAGGAAGGGAGGGAGTTTGGCGGTGGTGGCCGCTCTGGAGGGAGGGCGTGTGAGGACGGTGGGGGTGAGGGGAAGAAGCCAGTGGCAGAGAACTGCTCGGGGTGTGCGGACGGGGCACAGGGACGTGCGGCAGGAAGTCTTCTTTGTTTGCTTAGTCGGTTTTCTCCTGAAGGATACATCTGTCTGCTACACGACAAATGTGTGCCTCACGCGCCCTTGGTTTGTAGAGACTCATTTAGAGAGTCTGTTCTTGTGTCGTTTTGATCTAGTTAAGGAAGACGCACAGATCTCGACTCGGGGCCTGCCGGGGAGGAAGTGTTCTTGGTCGTGAGCAAGCCCAGGAAATGTGTCTTGTTTTCCCATCTGGGGGCTGTGGTGAGGGCTAGAAGCCTGAGGCGGGAGCCAGGGCTGGGCGTGAGACAGAAACTCTTTCTCTGCGTTCAATGTTCGGTGTTGATGGTTTTCCCAGTCGGGTTGGTTTGGTTTGGAAAATACTGTTTATGATCCCCACAGATGATGCATTACTTTGGCAGAGTTTCTCTTCCTCTCCCGGCCCTTCCCCTGAGCAGGTGCAGCGGGATGGGTTTTCTCGTTCTCTGAAGGAAGAGGGCATGGACCCAGGGGTCCTAGGGGAACCTCCCTTTGGGCTCAGCTGCTCCTTTGAGACAGCGCGAGCCTTGGAGGCAGCTGGAGGATGTCCCCCCCAGCCCAGCCACCTCTGCAGTGTGGAAGACAGGTACCGTGCCATTTGGGGCTCAATGTTTAGTATGTATTTTTCATGTGAAAATGAGGCATTTTGGAGTACTCCAGTTCTACACCGAGAGCGCCCTTCCAGCCTTCCTGTATGGGACGCTCTCGCTCTGGGCTTTCACATCTGGGAGAGGGCACCGGGCAGTGTGAGTAGCTCAGCAGCAGAGCACCAAAGATGGCAGTGACTGCGTGGACCCACAATTTCTGGCACCTTTTGAAATTGTATTTATTTTAATTTAGAGATGCTAGGGGTTTTAGTGACTGAATCACTTAAACCTGTGTGTTGGAGTTGACAGAATGGGTTACATAGAATTTCTTAGCAGCTTCTTAGTTAGCTCAGAGATGTTGGCCCGTGTCCTTCACGACCTGCCGAGTTGTGATTGCCTGAATAACTGCGTCACTTGGCAACGCAGGTCACCTCGAAGCAGATCTCTGTTTACTTGAGACTCAGGATTGAAATTGTTGTCTTTCCTATTTTCAGAAGTATATTTGCTCACTGGGAAATAATTTGCAATGTGCCTTACAGACTGAAAACCCTGTCCATGAGCATGAGGGGGTTTGGGGAGAGAGTCCTTAATAATCTTCTCCTGCCCAACCGCACGGGTCAGTGGGGGAAATGCTGCTGGTTTCACTGTAAAGGAATATACTTTGTTCTTCTCATAAGATTTTGACTTTCCTCAGTAGGCAGATAGATACAAATAAGCCTTTAAGATTGATAACTTTAAAACATAATTTGTTCATGAATCCAGACTAAAAGAAATGAGCAGAAACTGACATCAGTTGTTAGAGATTCATGTGTGATGTTTAGCTGTATTAATATTTTAATGGAACTCTACATGTTGGTAGCAGAACACAGAAGTTAAGGGGTGTATTTTTTTCAAAATAAGTGAGTCTTAATAAAGAATCAGAGTTTTGAAATGTAGCTGTGTTTTCAAATAAAATGTTTAACTGAATTCACTGTTGCTTACACCCACCGTGTCCTGTCCCTGGCACCTGTGGTGTGGGATTCGGGTCCCCAGTTCTGGAGCATCAGTCAGCAGCATCACATATGCAGAGTGGCCAGCAGGAATGCTGTGGCTTCTCCTGAAGTCTCATCCTCCGCCACGACACTGTGCTCGAGTTACAGATCAATGTGTGTGTGGTGGGGGGATGCCCGCCAACTCTGCTCAGAAGTTTGCCTAGTCTGGCTTATATTTTGCAGATGCTATCTCTAAACCTTTCAAGGTACCAATTAAATTCTGCCTCATTATGTAATTTGCATTCTGGAATAGCAGAAACAAAACACCATATATCCTTTTTGTATTTGCTTTTCATGGGCCTCAAAGATAACTCCTCTCGTATTTGGTCTGGCTGTCACGTACACGTGTAGGTTCTTGACTGGTGTGGCGTGGAGGCTATTCAAAGTCAGTCACACTCTGTGGTGGCATTAGTTTCTGCTTATTTCCCAGAGTCGGTTGCAGAGTTACACCGTGCTCCGTTTTCTTCTCCAGTGTCGTTTCCCCAGTTTATTAGAAAGGGACATTAACCTAGTTGGTCAGCAGAGTGGAAGGTAGTTCGTTGGATGCTCAGGCAGTCTTGTTACTTTGTGGGAGACACTTGCTCATACCAAACAAGTGGTTTGGGGCTGCAAACATAGTTGCTCCTAAAGACAGATATTTCCGTAATTCACATCATTTTTATCAAAGTACAATTCTCTATCTTAGTTGTAGTGGCACTTTCATGCATTTGATGATAGTTTTTCTATGTACACTGCTAGGCAGTTGATTATGAAGCACTTGTAATGGCCTTCATTTGATCCTAGTTCAGAGGCAAGAAAAGAACAAAACTGTTGTAGCATCTGTGTTCAGAGCATCATTGCCATGAATATGTGTGTTGCCAGGGCTCCATTTACCGGCCCCTCTGAAGGAGCCAGTTCGCTTTCTTCGCCTACCCAGCAGACTGTTGGCTTTTGGCCACAAGCAGTTGACTGTTACTGCTTCTCCCTAAGCTGATTAGCATGCAGTGTTACAGTGTCTCTAAGAATAATTTGGCTTACCTATATAATAACTTAAGATTTTAATCCTCTACAATAATAAATTATTCAGCCCTTTGTCAGTGTCTTGATTTGGTTTTATAGTTTTTGGCTTTTAAAAAAATACTCACTGTAGGGCCAGGGATTTAGCTCAGTGGTTCTGCTGCCTGCCTTGAAAGTGCAAGGACCTAAGTTTGATCCCTGGTACCAAAACAAACAAACAAACAAAAAACCTCACTGTGAGTATACTAGTGTGTTAAATACATTAAGGAATATGTTTCTAAATCTGTTGTTGTTTTTAGGAGAATTCCTTCCATTCCTTCACTGCCTGATGGTTTGACACACATCTCCCTGGAGGGGGCTGACGCTCTGTGAGATAGGCATCAGCAATGTGTCCCCTCTTTGCACAGAGCATCGGGAGTTGTCCTGGAGTCATAGCCACTGAGTACTGCAAGGGGCTGCCCCCCAGCACCCCTGTCCCTTTCCCTCCCAGCAGGCCGGGTGGGTTTCTCATCTTGAGGGGGAGAAACCGGCATCTTGGGCAGCTAGAATGCCAGAGAGGACCAAGCTGTAGAGCCGCCTGTGTCCGGGCGCTGCGGAGCCGGCCGCTGTCACAGCTGAGGTGGGCATTGTGCTCCTGGAGGAGGAGGAGGGGTCCCCTGGCAGGGCGAGGGGTGCCTGCTCGGCCAGGGCCCACTGCTGCCCCTCTCTGTGTGACAGAGGAGCAGGCTCACTCCCTGCATCAGGAATCCTTTCACATGTGCTGAGTGCGAAGCTGAAGCAGACAGGCATCCCAGAGCCTGGTACCGCAACCCACCCAGAAAGCTGGATGTGTATTTCATTAGAGGGAAACCGGGAAAGCATGTGATAGGAAAAGGCTGTTTGTCTGTCACTTCGTAGTCTTTGGATTTGAATATCTGGACAGACACCTGTGAACATTTACCCCTCCTTCCGCGGTGTGTGGCGCCGTCCTCCACAGGTCCGTCTTCTGCCCCTCACCTCCGCGGTGTGCTCAGGCTCCTGTGCAGCCTGCTGAGGAGAGCCACTGTCATGAGGGGCTGTTCCCCGGGTGCCCTCTGGGAAGCATTCCTCGCATGTGCGCTCGCTGGACTCCTACAGCGGCCTGCGCAGAGCATCGCTGTTACAGCGGTGCGGCGGTGTCACAGCTGGCAGAGGCAGAGCTCTTGTATCTGACTCCATAGCCGTAAAGAAGTGAGCAGAGTGGTTCGCTTCATGCCTGGCCAGGCGAAGTCACTGTGCTCGAGTTCCCTTCAGAGGATGTAATCTTTTGTGCTTTTAATTGTTGGCAGCTTTTGTATTTGGAGACTTTTTGTCTGTTCCTACACTCAATTAGTAAAACCAATTTGGTTTTCGTAGTATATGCCGAGAATTGCATTTTCTTCTTATTTATGCCTCTATGGGCCTACAGCAGAGAAGTCATTCCAGGTGGATCTCATGATCAGTATGATTGGTGTTGAGGCCAACACTGCTCCTTTAATTGTTGCCCATTTTAACATATTTGAAGACTGAGATGGGCTGTGTAGTCTGTTATATATGTTCATCGCTGCACCTTGAGGTTAAGTTCTTTCTGCCTACTCTTGTGCCTCCCAGAAGTTTTCCTTTATTTTCCCCAAGAGACAGACATGGAAATGTTATTTGACCTTACCTTTGCGAATAATGCCATAAGGAAAGCAGATCCAAGACACTGTGTGTATGTGCGTGTGTGGCATTGAGAGAGACAGGATTTAATTTGCAGGAAGACAACAGGTGGCTACAAAAGGCACAGGACTACTGGTCTGAAACCCCACCTGTGGCCCTGGCACTTTGCCGGGCTGTCTAAGAAGACGCCCTTCCCTGGACTTTCTCGGCTGACCAGATCAGTGTTTTGTTCTTGCCCTTCACCTGCTTTTCTAGTAACTAAGGCTCTAGGAAGTGAAGGCATTCGAATACAAGCCGTCTTAGATATTCTTGTCTTTTCATTTTTCATAACTTTAAAAATTTAACGTTGACTTGCCTATAGCTCGAAGTCTTTTCCAGCCATTGGTCCCTG